GGCACCGCCGTCTCCACTCCGCAGGTCCCGTGCCGCCTCCACAAAGATGTCGAAGAGCCCCTCCAGGTCCGTGGGGCCAGCGCAGTGCTCAGGGTGAAACTGGACACTGCAGAGGGGGTCAGGCAGGGCACAGCCTCACACCCCCCTGGCCCCCCCCAGCCACAACCCTGCACCCACCTGCAGAAAGGCTTGTGCTCATGGACGAGGCCCTCATTGGAGCCGTCGTTGGCATTGGTGAAGAGTTGGGCCCAGCCAGGCGGCAGGCTGTCTGCCTCCACGGCGAAGCCGTGGTTCTGCGCCGTGATGAAGCAGCGGCATGTGTTCTCATGCAGGCACGGCTGGTTGTGCCCGCGGTTCCCGTACCTGGAGTGGCGGGACGGGCGTCAGGCAGCCCCGGGCAGCCGGGACCCCACAGTGACCCTGACCCCAGACCCCGCTCACTTCATCTTGTAGGTGCGGGCACCAAGGGCCAGGGAGAGCAGCTGGTGCCCCAGGCAGATCCCAAAGATGGGCTTGGGCTCAGGGGCGTCCAGCACCCGGCGCAGGCTGGACACCGTCTCCTGGCAGAGCTGCGGGTCCCCGGGGCCGTTGCTGATGAACAACCCATCGAAGTCTGTGCCGAGACAGCAGCGGGGTCAGAGTGGGGCCCCCCCAGTCCCTCAGGGTCACAGCAGGACCCCCTGGTTACCAGCAGCCTCACAGTGAGGCGCCCCAAGCCCACAGCCCCCCGACACCCCAGGAGGGTCACACCAAGTTGCCCTGACCCCACAGCCCCCATCCTGGTGGCAGCAAGGACCCCAGTCCCACAGCCCCCCATGGCCCCCCCATGCAGGGTCACATTAGGGCACCCTGATGCCACAGGCCAGAGCCCCCCCATCCCAATCACAGCAAGGCACCCTGAGCCTATGCCCCCCCATCCCTGCAGGGTCCCACCGAGGGCCCCAAACCCTCAAGGAAGGATGACATCAAGGCTCCCCAACCCCACGGCGCGGAGCAGGATGCGGTTCCCTGCTGCCCCCAGCACTGGGCAAGGAGATGGCCCCTGCTCCAGGCCCCACCCCTCAGCCGGGCCCCGGGAGGCCCCCGGCCACTGCCACTCCACCTGTGGTGTCCAGCGGATGGTCCCAGGGCACCACGGTGACGGCTGCCCCCCGCTCGCACAGGCACCGCACCTGGTTGTACTTGAGGCCGCAGTCGACCGCTGTGATGCGCAGC